AAGCTGCAGCCTCTGGAGATTCCCATGTGGAAATGGGAGCAGATCACGATGGATTTTATCACCAAGTTGTCGAGGACGGCGAAGGGATATGATGCTATATGGGTCGTCGTGGATCGACTGACCAAGAGTGCCCATCTGGGAGAGCTCATCGGCCGAGAAGCTGGCCGACGTGTATATCTGCGATATCGTTGCTCACCATGGAGTTCCAGTCTCTATCGTGTCAGACCGTGATGTTCGGTTCACCTCCCCTTTCTGGCAGAATTTCCATGAGGAACTGGGCATGCGGCTGCATTTCAGCACAACTTATCATCCGCAGACAGACGGTCAGACTGAGTGGACTATACAGACCCTCGAGGATATGCTGAGAGCCTGCATTATTGACTTCGGTAAGAGTTGGGACTCCTACCTACCCCTTGTAGAGTTCTCCTACAACAATAGATTTCGTTCCAGCATTGGTGCTCCACCTTATGAGTTGTTGTATGGGCGGAGATGTCGCACCCCCGTCTGTTGGGGTGAGGTTGGCCACAGAGTGATGGGATGGACAGAGGTTGTTCTGCAGACTACCGAGAGGATTCAGCAGATCAGGCAGCGACTGCAGACTACTCAGAGTCGGCAGAAGAGTTACGCCTACCGGCGCCAATCTGAGTTGGAGTTTCAGATTGGTGGCATGGTGCTACTGAAGGTCTCACCCTGGAAGGGTGTGATTTGCTTCAGGAAGAGGTGGGAAGTTGGGTCCCCGATACATTGGGCCATTCAGGGTTACTGCCAGGGTTGGCAAGGTGTCATATAGACTGGATCTCCCGGAGGAGCTTAGTCAGATCCACAAAACTTTTCACGTCTCGCAAGTGCGGAAGTGCATACTAGATGAAGAGGCAGTGGTGTCATTAAATGATATTCAAGTCGATGAGCGCCTGAATTATGTGGAGAGGCCATTAGCCCTTCCGGAGAGGAAAGTGAAGGTTCTACGGAACAAGGAGGTACCTTTGGTAAAGGTAGACTGGGAGCACCGGAGAGGATTTGAGTGGACTTGGGACCCGGAAGCAGAGATGCAGGAACATTATTCAGAGTTGTTCACGGCAGCAGACTTCGAGGATGAAGTCTAGTTCAAGTGGGAGAGAATTGTAACACCCCGACTCCCAGGTATAAAATTTAAAGCTTTATATTTATATTATTAGACCTACTCGACGAGTTAGATGCCCCAACTCTTCGTGTAGAGACGGTTAAAGCCGAGTGGATTCTAGGACCTACTCGACAAGCAGAGGTTGTGCATTAAAACCATAATTTTTAGGGTTTGCACCCTACTTAAAGGACCTTAAGTCCTTCTTCCAGCCTCCTTACCACCTCTTCACGTCCAGAAGCAAACCCTAATCGATCTAACCCTATTTTGAGTGTGTGTGAGGCTAAAAGTGAATTTTTTGGTACATTTGTTGAAGAAACTTGAAGTTTGAGAAGCTTGGAACGAGAAGGAGTTTGTAGATCCAGCATCTACATCGTCTTGGCTTTCATTTGAAGGTAAAAACTCATTACCTTGACTTCTCATTGCTTAGATCTTCCCTTGTGAAAGAAAATGGTAATTTCTAGTGCAAAATGGAGTCACTTTCGGATTAGAGCTTGTCACAAAGGCATGGTTTCAGATCTGGACTAGGCCCTTATGGACATAAAGCCTCAAGATTTATGAATCTTTAGCCCTCCTCCATCTCCAAAACCTCTTCCTAAGGCTAGTTATGAGTGTTTTAGCTTCCTGGAGCCTTGCATGCACGTAAAGTTAGCAACTTTACGTGGTAACTATACCCTAAGAGACTAGGTCTACAGTTTGGAGCCTTGGTTTCACTTAAAAGCGTCTGAATGAGAAAAGGACTGAAGGAACTCGGCGAGTTGCATAGCCAACTCGACGATTTGGATGAAGGTTTCTCGCTTTATGGATTCTGCATGAACTCGGCGAGTTAGTGAGTTAACTCGACGAGTTGGTTAGGGTTTTCCCGACATTTTGGACACTGCATGGACTCGACGAGTTATCTAGAAACTCGGTGAGTCGATTGGGGTTTTCATGATTCTTTGAGTTTTGAAGGAACTCGATGAGTCAGTAAGATGCACTCGACGAGTTGGGTCAACATGGACTGTTGACCTTGACCGTTGACTTTGACTTTGACCAAGGGTTGACCAGTTGGACTTCTGAGGGTATTTTGGTACTTTGGGATTTTGATGGACTTGGTCCTATGGTGGTTATAGGTGGTGGAGTTCGTGGCTGTGATTCGGGAGTTTGATCTTATCACTATAGTTCGACATTGTGAGGTGAGTTGTCCTCACTATACTAACAGGGTCGAAGGCACCAATGTCGGCCCTTCTTTTGGATTGTTATCCTGGTTATTGCATGATGATATGCTTGGTGACCTGTTAGGTCGGTATCCTGGTATATAGGATGATGATATGTTAGTGATGTTGGGTTTTGCGCACTACAACATCCTATTGGTGCACATACAACCCTAAATGCTTTGGATCTATGTTTTCTCTAATTATACATGTAATATTGTTTCCAAAGCATTTTGCCTACAACTAGCATACAATTGACATAAACAACATAAAAATGAGTTATAGAATTACCTCTTTGTTGTAGCTTGTAGTTTTGGTCTTTAAGAACTTAGCACCCCAAATTTGATGCCTCAAACGGTTCACAGCACACCTGTGACAAAGGAGAACTTGAGAGAAGGTTGCTAGCTGCAAAATCGGCTCCTATGAACTCCAAGAACACGTCTACACGATTTTAGGGTATGAGAAACATATATATAGTCTAGGATTCCAAAGGTAATGGGTAAACACTAATCCATACACATGGGTTATGATCCATGGTTCATGCGGGCTAACTCTTTATGGATCCTTACATAAACTTAGTCCAACATGGATCAATGGCCCAATCCATATGTTTCACTAATTACCATAATTAGTCCCCATTAATTTAATTAGTCTCTTTTGATCACAAAATTAATTCCAAATTAATTCTTGATCAATACTAATTAAATCATATGATTTCATATTAATATATTAGAACTTATAATATATTAATAAATCATAAATAACCTCTTCTCAAAATTCCATCCTAACAAATTGTCCTGGTGATATGCAACCCGAAATGGACCATGCTGCTCTCGGGTTAAGTACATACCAATTATAGTTATGGGCTTAGACACCTAATCCAACTGTCTCCCACTTGGATAAGTCTAATAACTATTATTGCAAGTACGACTCCAGAATCCCGACTAGCAATTGTAGCTCTTAAAAGCCATTGTCTAACTCTGATCTAGTCAATGACGCGTCCATTAGATAAGGGATCATATATTCCTCCATTCTACAAGATATCATATGGACTGAGACATGGATCATGATCATTCTCTCTGTCCATCTGTTGTTTCCGGATTTCCGATTTATGACAACTGACTAATTGAACAAATCAAATCAGTCCAAGCTTGGCCAAGCGCTTAGGGGTGTCATCACTAAATCATCGAGGGGCCCACATATATCGCTTTTATCCCTCTAAGGGTAAAAGGAATAGATAAACTTCGACTCAAATGCTTGCTTGTACTTACTCATCAAATCACACACAACAATATGTTTTATAACACCAAGTTACTGGTGCGTTTACATATGTCAATGTGTAACTGACTTGTAAATTACAACTCACATGTATTGGTTTCAAGAATATAAGATGTTATCATCTCATGATCACTCGTGATAAAATCCATGAAGTGATTCAAATGAGCGTGGGTTTAATCCAATACTCGAATCTTATTACAGGAGTACTCATGAACACTGCAGCAAACTTGTGTTATGTCTAGACAATCTACAGTCAGATTCATGACAGTCTTGCCTCAATACCTACTTCCAAAGTATGATCGATTGTGGATGGTTTGAATAACCTAGTTATTCGGGTCCAATAAAACACCTTTTATTTAATCACCATATTGATTACACATTATTCATTGTATCATGTTTCGATTAATCAAATTAATACTTGAATTGAAACAACAGTTATGCCATGCTCTAAGCATGCACACTATGTTTGCCTATGGTCCTTTCTTTGTGAAATAGATCAATTGACAAAATTTCAATGATGCTCATTTCACAATTCCAAACCCTTATCATAAGTGCTATAATTTGTTTAGATTCTAAACTTATATGCAATGATCCTCTTGTAATGACTATGCACAAAAGTCACAGAGACTCAGCAAGAGACATTACAAAGTATTCCAACAGATGGTAATTCCATTGAAACGAAGTCTCATATTCAAAGTACATTCCTTTGAACATCCTTCTTGCATTAAGTTTTCTAATCTTACACAGATTTAAAGAATAACTTCCACTTATGGAAACATTTCCATATTCCCATTTTGACTATCACTCCTGAACAAGAGTTACCTCTTCTTAGAGTATGTCAATATGGTCCTTCCAAACTTTACAATATACACTACTAGAAAACAACCCTTTAATGATGCGCAAACAATGACAAGCAGTGATTTACGATACGCAAAAGCATGCGCCCTAAAAATAATGTCATATCTTCTAAAATTTGAAGGATAGAGGACACGCATTTATGCGTGCCCTGAAATTAGTGTCAGAAAAGAAAAAAAAGAAATACGGAGGGCACCTATCATAAAAAGCGTGTCGTGTAAAGGTGTCACTTTATATTTTTTAAGAAAGCGCGTTCTCCGTATTTTTTTTGGGAAATGAAATCCCAAAAAAAATAAATACCCCGCCTGATACTCCTTCTTCTCCTTCTAAAATCCTCTACTAAGAACCCTAAATCATTCATAACCATTTTCCATCCCCAAAAAAATTAAACATCCCGCCTACTACGACTCCCTAAATCATAAATCCCTAAAGATTAAGAACCCTAATTTGTTCTTGAGAAACAGTGCCTTAGATCAAAAACTGTGAATTCAACTTTGAATTAGTTCAGGTTCTCTCAATCAAGAACCTCCCCATTCTATAACTCAGAAAAAGCATCAATGCACGCATATTGCACCTGCGCCGGAGTCAGCCGTTCGTTATCCCATATGGTCATCGTCACAACCTCGGGCTTTATCAACTCCTTCCGCAAGATCTTTCTCGTAAATTCAATCAATCCTAACCTTTCTCTCAATCAAGAAACCCTAACCTTTCTCTCTATTCACGAGCCAGTAATCGCGGCAAAGAAGATCAACAACAAAGACCAACTGGTTCGATTTCTCCCTAAAACCGGTACAACTTTTCCTAAATCCGACTTTACTCCACTCTCTGATTTTGTTTTCTCCCTAATCGATGCATCCACCTTCTCGTCTCTCCCCCTCCACCGGGTTTTCTCTCATCTCTCTCCTCCATAGATGAATATTTTTCTTTCTTCTTCGTTCGTGCTTCCTTGTTGTCGGTGGTCTCGGTGGTGTTTGATAGTTAGAAACGAAAGCAGCAGTGAGTATACAGAAGGTCTTCCATTCCAAAAAAAACTTTACACGTAATAGAGAAGGTTAATTCCACATAAGGGATGGAGCCAGAAGATGTGGGTGATAAAAAAACGCAATCATTGGAACCAGAAGATGTCTCTCCTCCACCAGATGAAGATTGTCGAAGAGCTGAAGGGGGAACCAATTTCTATAAATCAGTGCTCTATATGTTCCTTTTTTTGGTAATTCTATGATCCCTTTACAATTTATTCGATTTTCGTTTTTTATTTTATATATGTTCATGTTAATTTCTAAACATGAATCACTTCACCTTCTTAAATCTTGTGTTTTTTCCAAGAAATCATCCCCTAGTTTATAAAATTGTATGGCTAATTGTTGAGATATGCGTTTGATTTAGGTTGAGGGTGATGGTAGGGCACCTAATTCTCCTTTATCACTAATCGTTCTCATCCTACCTTAGTCTTCAATTCACATGCTCCAAATTTTACAATTTTCTAGAGAGAGGTAAAATATCAACATGATTTGAATGTCTCACAATAAATAAATAGAACGTAGTGTTGTATTTGACCTATCTGATGTTTGTACTGAATTGGTGGTAGAAATAGATCTGTATAAATTGAGAATGAAAAGAACTTATTCCATTCCATTCCTTTATGATAAAATTGTATATTTAATTGTTATTATAGAGCTTTTATTACTTGTTTCCTTCCATAAACAATCTCCAAGATCAATAAGCACCAATTCATCATATTTGGTCCTATTAGCAGTAATCATAACAGAAAAAAGTAGACAAGTATGAGACAACACTAAGGAAATCTTCGTTTATTTCCTGCATTGATTGAAGAGGATCTAAAGAACGAACAATCTTACAACACAAATACAATGGGATAATGATTGTCCTTGCAGCGATTGGTTTACTGCAGAAGACCCTGTAAAAGGTAATAATATATTTGTGTATAATGGGGAAATGTAACTATTTTTTTTTGTTACTGATAATTTCATAGAATGTGTGCAGCTTTTGAACTGGTTGCTATGTGGGGAGAGAAAATGGTGGAAAGCTCCATGGAGATGGCTAACAACAGTAGTGATACTCCTAGTATTGAGGTGAGTTGACATTTTTTTTTGTTTGTAAGCTCAGATATTATGATTTATATTTTGTGTTAATGGTTTATTTGTCCAAAGTGCAGGCTAATGAAGACTTTTCTTATCCATCAGGAGCAAAAGAAGAAGGTTTAGTGAAGGAAAGTGACAGGTGAAATAAGCAAGTGAGAGCTCCTTGTTTTTTTTATTTATTTATTGAACATTAGGTCTTCCCTGGACTGTTGCTAAAGGACAGGACACTTTCACACCTATCAGCTCCATTGTAAGAATTATTAGAAACTACACTCTTTTCTGGTAAATTGGTAATTTGATTAGGATTTTGTTATCTTATTATATTAATTGATACCTAATAGACATATTTAAATAATTTGCAGCTGTCTTTCTCAAGGGTGCCAGATCCTCATAGCTTGGAATTGTGGTTAAAGGTAGCCCGTCCATTCCATAATAATAATCCACTTTTATATGTCGAAATTAATGTTTTACGGTTTTACCCCTCAGGTTGATGGAGAAATAAGACAAAAAGGGTCTACAGAAGATATGATATTTAAGATCCCGTTTCTGATTAGTCACATTAGTTCTATTATGACACTTCTTGAAGGCGATGTCATACACACAGGTAAAATTTCTAAACTTGTTTTGTGTTTTTGTTTAACAAAAAAAAATCATTTTGTTGCATAAATGAATGCACATTTAATTACCCTAGAAAATATGGCAATCAACTAATTAAATCTAGTTACCTTAACTTAATGAATTATTTGAGTAGGAACACCAAAAGGTGTTGGCCCAGTCAAAGTTAGTCAAAAGATAGAAGTTGGCATAACAGGCATATTGGATGTGCACTTTGATGTTGGAAGGCGTCAAAATATTTAAAAAAATCAAAAGATATGCATAAATTCAAGTGATGATCATCACATAAATATTTCATGAATTATGAGATATGATTCCTTTTACATGTCAATGGGTATTTTTATTTGTAGAATCTCATTAAATAACAATTACGGCGGGAAAATTGCAAGAATAATAGCATATAATCGTGTAAGTAATTGTATGGGTAAAAGCTTCTAGCCCTAAAAAGCTCTGTATGTGGTTACATTTGAGAATGTTTGTAATTTTTGTGTAATATATGTGGTGTTCTCTTTTTGTACCCTCTTGAATATATCCAATTTCTAATATATGGATCAGATTTTCTCTTTACTTTAGTTGAAACTAATGATGAGGTTTGCACGGGTCAAATTTTTTTAAATGATCAGTAATTCCATTCCAGACCTTTGTGATTCCATTCCATCATAACTATTTTTGTATTACAAAGCAGAATAAAATGAACGAATGTTTGCATGAATTGGTGAGTGCTTTGAAAATATACCTAATGATTATCATTTCTCGGGGTAAAATGTCACACCCGATATGCTCAAAACAGCAATTGATATGATGAACATGATGCCACCAGAAGAGCTCCAAAAAATGTCCAAAATGGCATTAAATGGATCCGGATCAAATACAGAGTCAGAAGGTCAAGAAAGGGATTTTTCAACTTTTAATGAGGATATTGGTGAGAGTAGCACTTCTAGAGGGGTGTCAAATTCAAGAAATACCCCTCAACCTAGCTTCCCGAGTTCAAGCTTTGATATACAGGAACAATTAAAAAATCAAATGAAGAATCCAGCTATGCATGAGGTTTCTGTTCAACTTACATTGTGAAAGCATTAATAATCCCAGTATACGAAATTTATGAATTTATATTTGGTTTAATATGTGTAGATGATGTCATCAATGATGAAAAATATAAGTCCATATATGATGGCAAGTATGAGTGAACAATTTAGATATAAAATGTCACGTGAGGATGCAGAAAAAGCTCAACAAGCAATGTCATCTTTATCACCAGAGAGCATTGATAAAATGGTAACCTTCGTTTCATTCTTAGATGATCATGATAATTCTTAATTTTTCCATAAATCGAGTAACAAATTTATTTATTGCAAACTTAAATATTTTAACGAAAGTAAATTGATATTAACATAGTTTTGTTACTTGCTTATTTCAAAAAGTAAGGGCATATTGGTGGCATTAAATGGATCCGATAATTAATTATGGAAAATAACATAGTTTTGTTACTTTTCCTAATATGATCATAATATTAGAGTAAATTACAAAATTGGTCCCTGTGATGCACTAGAAATTGCAAGCTCAGTCCCAAATTTTAAGTCGTCCTTAAGTTTGCATTTCATTACAAATATGGTCCCTATGCTTTACTCAAAATTGCAAATTCAGTCCAAATTTTGAAGTCATTTTGGGAATGACATTTTTAACTTATAAATACTATGAGTGTATGTCAATTTTGTAATTTACTCTAATATTCTGATCATATCGGGTGTGACATTTTATAATTTACTCTAATATTATGAAAGAAAAAGTACCATTTTGTATCTTTTTTCTTTTCTGATGAACCACTTTCAATGAATGTAGTTTTTTTATTTGCTAAACATCTTTGCGCTCAATGGTCTTCCCTCTGATGAAAATCCATATTTGTTTAACGGTGATTTTGTTGATCGGGGGTCTTTCTCTGTTGAGGTTATTCTTACACTTTTTGCATTCAAGTGTATGTCTCCATCAGGTAATTAATCTTGATCATGTATCTTTATTGCTATTAAACACTACTATAGATTATAGAATCCTAATGCATTAGTAATAATCATTTTTTTTAATGTTTTCAGCTATTAAACACTACTATAGATTATGCAAGTCCCCCGTTGAAGCAATTCGTGAGTTAAGGTAATTACCTAAATACACTCTGTCGGTTCTTTTTCGTGTGTGTTTCATATGTGTACATTATCTGCAACCAATAATGTACGTGATAAAAATAAATGTGTTCTTGTTGTTGCTGCTGAAACTATTTCCTTACTGTAAGTATGGGAAACATCTCTACTATTGGTAAATTTTATCCACTTGAATAACTTCTAACTTCTAACAATCTGACTACATTTCTTAATGGAACCCGGAACACCACATCGATCAAATATCATATCTCAAGTGCGATCCCACATTCTTTGGATGAAGAAAAGGGTAATTTCGTCTTTTACAACTAACATTCCATGTTTGATTCTTCTAATAATTATATTAGCATATTAATTTTTTGACTTTTATTTGATCAGGTCAGAAGAATTATCGGAGCAGGGGTTCATTAGTCTTAAAGAATTATGAAAGGCAAGATGCAACTCTACTTAGTTGGAATTTGATGTTTATCATCTTTGTGTATATTTTTTTAGTTTGCATAGCATTACATTGTAGAAGGTGTCCCTTAATAGCAATGTCGTATTAGGTTATATAGTTAGGGAAAACCTCTTAATAACAATGTACAATTAGATCCCTTAATATCAATGTATTACAATTTTTTGACATGATTTTATTGGATGAAATTGATTGTTTTGGTATATATTTTTTTTTTGTATTATACGTAAATGAGTATCGTAAAGATGCATCATAAATGAATATCGAAAATGGTTACTGAAGTTTATGACACGCAAATGCGTGTCATCTTCATTTATGACAGGGGCTTCCTTGATACAAATTGCGTGTCATAAACACGCGCGTCGTAAGGTTACGACACGCAAATGCGTGTCGTCTTCCTTTATGACAGGGCCTTCCTTGATACGCATTGCGTGTCATAACTGCATGTCGTAAATGTGTGTCATAAATGCGCGTCGTAAATAGACGACGCGCAAAAGCGTGTCGTCTCTCGTTATGACAGGGCCTTCCTTGACACGCATTTGTGCGTCGTCTGAGCGTTTTACGACACGCATTGCGCGTCATAAAAGGCTGTTTTTCTAGTAGTGATACTTCTAACTGTCCATAAGCAACCAATCATTGGCAAACCTCAGATTGTCCTTGACAATTGCTTAACCATTTTAGTCATATCTCGTTCTAGTCCCTTTTTCCCTCTTAATTCCCTAGGCATTTGGAAAATTAGAACAGGTTAATATTATAGCATATGTAGTCAATCCTATACCCGAAGCATATGGGATATGATACATAATGTTTCACATAAAGGCATGATACTTTACCAGTCTCTCGCTATAACATTTCCATATATAGAATTTCCTTATGTCAAATCTTTTCTACATAACATTCATATATAACATTTCCATATATAGAATTTCCTTATGTCAAATCTTTTCAACATAACATTCATATATATCCTTTGACTAAATTTGATTAAAATCTCAATCTAAGCTTTTAGATTTGAAATGAAGTATGAATTTCTCTCCCTTAATTATAGCAAAACAACTTTTCAAACCCTGCATCTTTGCAAATTGAAACTTTTGTTTTCTATAATTAACATTGCTAACTCGCAACACTTACCATAATAATTAGCATAATAACTATTATCTTACTAGCATAACACTTATGCTCCCACTACCTTTGACATGTATCCAGAAATCAGCTGGACTTCTAGAAACCAATACCTATTGACTTTCTTACCAAAGTTCATATTTCTGATACGAGATGCTTCGATAAGACTTTATCTAGGCTTCTCAAATTCATACGCCTTTCCTTATATAGAAAACATGTGTGTCTAAAAATTTTTAGAACTTACAACAATAAGTCTCAAATGTTTAGACCTTTTTCCGTTTCTCACAATTCGAACTATGAAGAGGGATGCCGTAATCATAATCGAATTTGAGAACGCAAATATCACAATTGTTGACTATTTAAAATCTACTTAGTGAAAGCGTTTCCTCACAATCATTTTCATGAATTGGAGAGAAACCTTATGACACTTAGATTTTATGGTGTATGTGTTCCTATCCATGTGAATTTGTCATAATCATAATCACAAGACAAGGTTAGTGACAAATCCAAACTCATATGGATTGAACTTGTTTAATCTTAATTTCTTGCCACCTGGCAGCACAAGTGCCTACCATTGTTTCCAAGTTGTTATGCAAACTATTGAGAACTCATAGAACTCACATGAATAGTCAACCAACTGGAATGGCCACAAAAATAAGAATATGTCAACACGATAGGTTATAAACCTCAAGTCGTGTGCTAGTGATTAACAATAGGTTTAATCTTGATTAGTTCTTGAAACTCTTCAAGATCTTTAAGACTCCCACTGACCTCTTGACATATAAGATTCAGTTTGTCAAGGAACATTACTTGACAAACAAATATTCAAGAGTTAGTGCGGTTTCTTATCAAGACAAAACACTTCACACAGTTGGCCTTAGTTGGTATTTATTCTATCCGAAACATCACAACTTACCAATTTCAAATGTAGAAGAGTAGAAAACATTTTACTCTACATTTGATAAGTGTTATAAACCTTTCTTAAGATCATGTACTCAAGGCTCAATCTTGGAGGATGACTCTAAGACTTGATTTTGGAACGAAGTATGATTTATCTTCTTGATTTAACCATTTCAACAATTCACGATTCCTCTTCTTAGCCTTACAAATGCACTAAGATGTCCTTAGAGGATCAATTGTGATATGGTTTCATAATCACAAAGATAATCATAAAACACGATACTCAAGTACTTTCCCATCTTCTCAGATTGGAGAAACTTTTATCTTTGTGCCTAGTTTGATTCTTCTCATTCGTTCTGCCATACATTAAAACTTTTCCGATGACTTAGAATTACACTTAGACTTGTAAGCATAACCATATTTACTAAACTTTAGTAAATCATAACGAATAGTCTTATTGTTCTTTGTGGTGGACCTGATCAGCGCACAACCAAGTGTACCTGATCCCCTAGTCCTTCACTTGACTCACATATACATGTGAACAAGGAATTAGTCTTAATTTCCCAAAGATGAAGTTCTCATTCATCACACAATACAAGTTGCATGATTCCAAGTTTCTA